TGGGGCCTGCTTGCAAATTTTAAAACATTTGCTGCAATTGATTTTTAAAAAAAAATCTCTATTTCATAAATCCCATGGAATATTTTTATTTTTGTTCATAATGTGTTAAAGGTTGGGTTTGCAGGTGCAGCAGCTGTCTCCTTAGCACCCATGAAATGTGTTTATAAGTGGTATTTGTTAATATTTAATCCTCAAGATGACTTTCTTCACAGTGGCTGTCGTGCTTATGTCTTCATCTCTTCACTGTGTAGTACTTCCTATCATTATACTTCAGGTTGGTATGGAAGGACATCACTGGTTCACCTGCAGTCTCTCTTACTGGTTTTCTGCAGAACCAGACCATTTCAGATGATCTGTGGTTGTAGACTGGAGGCAGCCGAACAGTAAAGCGACAATGGTGAAGTCAGCAGGCTAGAGCAAAATAAGGGCTCAGAGTTGTGAAGTTACACAGGATTTATTTTTTTTTTCCCATTTTGTAGACATGTCACTGCCTATTATTTGGTGGTGTTAATCAACTCAAGCAAAATATATATTTGTATCATTACCAGAACAATTATTATAGTTAATTGTCAGTGAGCTCGTTTGTGAAAAGTCTTTTCTAGAAAGTGCTTTCTCTCTTCTAAATGTTTGAATATGCAAGATTTATACCATACAAAGCCAGAAAAAGGCGCTTCTTCCTGGGAATTAAAGTGTTCACAAGGCAGTTCACACTGAAACTAATGGTTGGACTCAATGATCTTAAAGGTCTTTTCCAACCTAAATTATTCTATGATTTTATGAAATAACTATTCCTGAAAAAAAAAATCTGCAGAATAACTATTTTGGAAGGTTTAGAATGGTAGACGTGTTCTTAGTGTCCAGTGGCTTTTCCTGCTTGTAATTCTTATTAAATTCTGATGCCTTTGCTGCTCTCCCACATTGAAAGTGGAAGTCTGTATTTATACACAAGTTAATTAAAACACAGCTTTAATAGGACGCCTTAACAGTGGTACCCAGTTTGCTGAGTGTCCAAATAAAGCTTGCTGGAGTATGAGTGGAAGGGAAGGAGGGTTTTTCCTTAGCCGAAAGACAGTTATAGCAATGTGTTTCTTATTTTTCTCATGTGTGTTGCCTCTGCCCTCTGGGAACCACCAAACCAGCACATTTCAGAACAGCAAAATAATTTAATCTAGGGCATTCAATTGGGACTGTTATCCCAGAGGTAAAAAAAAAGGTTTGTGTTTACTTAGTCCACCCTCAGGGAAATGTGATTTTTCATTTGTTGGTTGGGGTGTTTTTTTTTCATAAGAACTGTAATTGATCCTACTATATAGGAGAGGGAAAAAATAACAGGAAATTATAAAACAATGCTAGAACCTCACAGAACTTTATATAGATGACCTACTTCTGTCAGGAAAATATAAGTAGTCTATAAGAAGCTTTAACAGAGTTATAAATCTTTAAAATATATCATATATAACAATATATTTGTGCAGTAAGGAATTAACATTTTTTGTTTTCACGCCGTATTAGACCAGTTACTTGTCAAGTACTGTAATGAGATTGTATCCGTTTATCAGGATGGAGGATGAGCACCGTTTAAGAGAGAGGATGGCAAAATGGGATGTGAAAACAGGCAAATTCTTCACAACTTGGCATCTTTGGTTGCCACCTGTAGTGGAGGGGTTTTCATGTTATGACTTGATCCTGTTCCCAATTGAGCCCGTGACTTTTATTACCTTTAACAGCGCAGCCCAGTGTTCGGGCTAGGTAATTTTAATAGGTTTTTGTCTAGCATGGGTCATAATTTCTCTGTGTGCTCTCAGCACATCATCAGTGTTTCTAATCTGCTAAAGTAATATCCGAGGAATGTCTCCCAACCCCTCCATCTTCTCCTCAAATATTTTTAGGTGGAACTTTGTAAGGCGTTTCAGCCTTTCTATCATATCAATCAGATGTGCCTTTCAAAAGCCTGTGTAATGTTACAGTATTAAAAAAATAATAAAAATGTTACGTATCTGTTAAAATACTTAGCGTGTAAAGAATCATGCAGACAGCTGGTTTTCAGCTTATCTGTTATGATTTTTTTGCTCCAATTTCCAGTGTGATATTTCTCAGAAATTATTTGCAGTAAGTCCGTTAAATGTGGATTGTACATCTACCTTTTGAACCTTTTTCATGTTCCTTTGTTTACAAAGATGTTAAGCCAGTTTAATCAGGCACTGCTAACCTAAATCTTAATCCTTCGTCTCTTTTAGATGAAGAAACAGTTCCTCTTAAAAGTGATGAGGTATCAGCCAAAGAAACTTAAAAACCATGAAATTATGCACATTCTATGTATTAGTGGAAGGTTTTCTTTGGTTTTATTTATATAATTT